AAGGATAATGGCAAGACGGTCATGATGCTTTCACATTATGACGAGATGGAAGAGCCAATGGTGTGCGAGCTCTCTGAACTCCCAGCTCCCACTTGTCCGGACTTTGAAACTAGACGCGTGATAGCGCTTAAGAAATCGACAAAGTTCAAGTGGTTCTTCGACCAATTCGGCCTGTCTGAAGCAACACGCTTTGAAGCCACCAAGGCCTTTTTAAGACTTGCAGAGCAGAATGGTGAAACGTGTATGAGTGTAAGCGGATCAGTAAGGAAAGTATTTCGGGATAACTCCTTGGCAATAACCTTTACCGAGGCCGACAAACAAGTACCATTTCCACATAACCGCCCCCTCTACGTCCCAGTATTCATCAATGGGATGGAGTTTCAAAGAGGATTCATGGATGGAGGAGCTTCACTCAATGTGATGCCTTATTCTACTTTCCAGGAAGCTGGGATCCCACAAAAGCATTTAGTTAGACAACCCATCTCCATCACCAGTTTTGGAAGCCAAAAAATTAAAACCATAGGTCATGTCCAGTTAGACTTAGCAGTCGGACCAATTCGCTCTACTACTAAGTTCCATGTTATAGAAGCAGAGACGACCTATCAGGCTCTCCTAGGGAGAACTTGGCTTCACAGATATGCTGCGATTCCGTCCACCTACCATCAATGTGTCAAAGCAATCTACAACAATGAAGTAGTAGCCGTAGCTGGCTCTCAAAAGCCTTTTCGAGTAGATGAAGCTCACATGGCAGATGCAGTATTTTACAATCATGTCAATGAAGATGAACCTCCTCTGCCACTTCACCAAATCAGAGCCCTCAAGAAAGCTCCCTAAAGTCACCAGGTTTCAAACAAAAGATGGCAGAATGGTATACCGTTTATGACGGTGCGAGGGGTTGGCAAATGTTACCAATGCCGACCCCCAGCTAGACGTCGTAGCAATTGTCCATCGTGAACTAAGTGGAGAAGATCACTGTTGCTACACCTTGTCTGCGCTGGCCCAACGCCTGCCAATGGCAAAGAATAAAAAAAGTAGAGACAAGAAGAGCAGAAGGAGAAAAAAAGCTGTGGCTTTTCCAGCAACAGATAAACACTCCGACAAATCCTATTGTCCTGCGGTAACTCATTTGGATGGAGCCGAAGGCTCAAAAGTTAAACCCCTCAAGGCAGCCATTTCATCTCCTAACCAAGTCCCCGCCAAGCAAGATGGATTGCAAGAAGTCCGACCTGCTCCGGAGTGTTTACAGGATGGTCCTAGGCCCCAAAAACAAGAATTGGAAGAAATCAACATAGCCTCTGAAGGAGAACCCAGGCGTCCTATCTTCATTTGCAAGGATCTCCCAACAAAACAAAGGGGGCCCCTTATCGAGTTGATTAGAAAATATTCGGACGTTTTCGCATGGACATATGAAGAAATGCCAGGATTAGACAAAGATGTTACCATGCACCGTCTGAACGTCATCCCCCTGGCTCGCCCAGTCAAGCAAGGAGTAAGATTTTATAAGCCCGAGGTGGAGCTCAACATCAAGGACGAAGTAGTGAAACTACTTGGAGCAGGGTTTATTAAACCTATTCAACATCCCACCTGGCTTTCTAGTATCGTCCCAGTTATCAAAAAGAATGGTCAAATTCGAGTGTGCATCGATTTCAGAGATCTAAACAAATCTTGCCCAAAAGATAAGTTCCCACTCCCAAACATAGATACCTTGATTGATTCAGCGGCAGGACACCATATGTTCTCATTCATGGATGGCTTCAGCGGCTATAACCAGATCAAGATGGCCCCAGAGGATGCCCCAAAGACGGCGTTTCGCACTCCTATAGGTAACTTCTTCTATACTGTAATGCCTTTTGGATTAAAAAACGCGGGAGCAACATACCAGAGAGCTATGATAGCCATTTTTCACGATATGTTGCACAAGTCCTTGGAATGTTACATTGATGGTTTGGTAGTAAAATCCAAAGAGGAGACTAGTCACCTCAAAGACCTCCAAAGAGTCTTTGAACGTTGTAAGAAATACAGACTCAGAATGAACCCGCTTAAATGCGCATTCGGAGTCACTGCCGGCAAGTTCCTTGGCTGCATCGTTCATCGCCATGGGATAGACCCCGACCCAGCAAAGGTCACCGCCATCCAAAATATGCCACGACCAACCAATCTAGATGAGTTGAGAACCTTCCTCGGACGGGCATCTTACTTGAGACGGTTTATCCCAGCTATGGCCGAAATAACACAACCCTTCAATTCTTTACTAAAGAAGGATGTCAGGTTCACTTGGAATGAGGAACACCAACAAGCATTCGAAGGAGTGAAGTCAGCTTTAACATCCCCTCTCTCCATGACTCCTCCTCAGCCGACAAGGCCCTTATTCCTCTACATCACTTCCACGCCGAAATCAGTCGGAGCTCTGCTCGCCCAGGAAATTGACGGATTTGAACGTCCCGTGTACTACATAAGCAGAGTCATCCAAGGGGCTGAGATCCGATATTCCCTCGTTGAACGGCACTGCCTCGCCCTAGTGTTTGCCGCCAAAAAGCTCCGCCATTACCTTCTTTCTTACCCCATCCATCTCATGACCAGAAGCGATCCTATCCGATTTCTCCTCACTAGACCAGCGCTCTCTGGCAGGCCAGCCCGTTGGCTCCTATCTTTAGCGGAATATGACATCACTTGCAAAGCTCCCAAGGCCATCAAAAGTCAAGCGCTCGCTGACCTCTTGGCTCACTTTCCCAGTGGAAAACATGAGCCGCCCTCGGATGAATTGCCAGGAGATGAGTTCCAAGCGGCTGAAGTAAACACCGAAGGAGAATGGAGTTTGAGTTTCGATGGATCGTCCACCTCTAAAGGGGGAGGAGCTGGAATAGTCCTTGTTTCACCAAATCAAACTGAAGTCAATTTGTCATATAAACTGGATTTTAAATGCTCTAACAACGAGGCGGAATACGAAGCCCTGATATTGGGGCTTATGGCAGCACTCCACCTAGGAATAAGTCTCCTATGTATCAAAGGCGACTCTAATCTGGTGGTCAAGCAGACCAATGGAGACTATGCTATCAAAGAGCCCCCTTTGGCTTCATACAGAACCATCGTCCAAAGGTTGACAGACAAATTCGACACGGTAAGGATAGAACACGCTCCTCGCTTCAATAATCGACACCTGGACGCCCTCGCCACCTTGGTCTCTAAGGTGGAATTCTCGGAAGAATCAACCAAGATAGAAGTCCTGAAGCGCTCCGTGCCATGTTCAGTAACAACTATCTTCCCTGAAAAAGAACCCGCCGATTGGAGAGCCCCAATCATCGATGAGCTCTGTGCCCCCTCAGGTAAACTACCTTTGAGTGAGACCAAACACTTCACAATTTATCAAGGAGTCCTCTACTATAGAGGGCCTGGTGGTTTATTGGCACGATGCATTGACCTTATCGAAGCCAAGTCCAAATTAGAAGGGGTGCACAACCGCTCATGCGGGACAGGAGATGTAAGCCTCTACAGGAGGCTACAACGACAAGGATATTATTGGCCTACTATGGCCAAGGAAGCGAATGACCTTCAAGGGAAGTGCACCAAATGTCAAGAATTCCCTCCAAAGGTTGAATGCAACTTCACAGAAATCACCTCCGACTGGCGTCAGGTATACATAGATTACCTCAAATAAGAATCATTGCCACCAGAACGCTCTGCAGCCGCAACAATCAAGAAGCGAGCTCCGAAATTCTATTTGCAAGGAGAGCAACTTTTCAGGCATGGCTTCGATGGAAAGCCATTACGTTGCTTGTCAGGAGCTGAAATCCATAAAGTTTTGGAACTTACTCATGGATCAGAGCACCAAGGCAGAGCGAAACTATTTCAACATCTTCTACATTTAGGGTATTATTGGCCTACCATGGAGGCAGATGCCAAAATGTATGCCAAACGCTGCAAGCCTTGCCAACTCCATGGAAACCTCATTCATGCACCCGCCACTGATTTACATAATTCGAGCCCACCATGGCCTTTCCACACGTGGGCTATGGACCTCATTGGCCCCATCTCTCCACCATCAAGGGGACACATATAGATTGTAACGGCTACAGAGACCTATACTAAATGGGTAGAAGCCATCCCTCTAAAAAAGGCAACAGGAGCTGCTGTCTCCAACTTCATCTGAGAATTCATCATATGTCGTTTCGGCATACCTAGAGTAATTCTTTCAGACAATGGGACCCCTTTTGTTAACCGCCAAGTCGGACAACTCCTTGTCTCCTATGACATCACGCACCATAAATCAACTCCTTATTATCCCCAAGGGAATGGGAAAGCAGAAGCGACCAACAAAACACTCCTTAGAATCCTTTCACGGACTCTCAAGGATTATCAAAGGGATTGGGCGCACGTACTCCTAATGGCGCTCTGGGCTTACAGAGCATCCAAAAGACGCCCGACTCAAATGACCCCATTCTCATTGGTATACGGCACGGAAGCAGTTCTTCCAGTGGAAATTGCCATACCCTCAGCTCGCATGGCCCTCCGAAGTGAAGTTACTCCCGACTCCAGATCCTATGAATTGGAGATCCTTGATGAAATAAGGGACAAGGCCCTGGCTAACCTCAAAGTTTACCAAAGTCGCATAGCTCGAGCCTATGATACCTTGGTGCGCCCCAGACAATTCCAAGAAGGTGACTTGGTACTTCGTGCTGCACCTCATGTCATGAGAGGAACCTCTACCCACAAGTTCACTCCTAAGTGGCAAGGACCTTACGTAGTAAGAGAGGCCAACGAGAATGGTTATTATAGAATTTCTGAACCAAACTCGCAAGCTCTCTTGAGCCCTATCAATGCCAAATGGCTAAAGGCCTATTTCCCTTAGGATAAGAGTGAAGAATCACCCCTGAGAAATTTACTCTTATTGATGTAATGGCAATGTAAAACATCAGCTCATGCTTATGTTAAATAAACAATCATTTGCTATCTCCATTCTTATTACGTTTTGTGTAACTATTAATAAATCATCAATCAAAAAAAAAAAAAGAAGAAGAAGATTGAGAGAGAAAACAAAAATATATACAGTACTTGGGGTTTTAGCTCAACCAGTACAAGAAATTCCTCAACTTGTCTAACTTGGACCTATCTGGCTATCTAAGTCAAAAGCCTCATCTTCCACACTAATAAGCTGAGCCTCTACCACGGCTCTCCTCTCTCTCAAACTGGACATCGCCAAGTCCACATCCGCCAATGCCTTGGTCGCCCGCTCTAACTCCATCACAGCCTTCTCCCTAGAAGACGCCGATTCCATCAAAGCCCTGTCCATTTCCGCTAGCTCAAACTTGAGATGGCGATTCTTTACCTGCACTTCCATACGAGACAAACTCTCTCTCAGCCAGCTCACCTCAAACTCATGCCGCTGAAACTCAGCCACAGCAGTCTGAAATGACTGAAACGTATCAATAGAAGTCTCCGGAGTAAGACCATGAAACCCGCTGAGCATATCACAGAACGCCTCTAACAAATAGCGTCGTAAGAACATAGCCTCCAAACGCATGAAAGTGCTGGGTCTATGATCAAAAATAAAGCTCAGTCTAGGCAAACATTCATCTCGCACGCCAGCAAACAGTACTTTGGAATCGAGGGCTTGCTCCTTGCCATCAGCCCCTGCTAAGGATACGCAACCACCATCAAGACGGGTCACGGTAAACTCGCCATCCAAGAAAGGTAAACTCGCCTGACCGTCGGGAGCAATAGTATCATCATGGACATAACTACCACTCTTACCAAGTGGCAGACTAGTAGTAACTCCCAACGAAGCAGGCAAAGTACCAGGCTGAACATCCACCAAATGAAGGCTAGTCTGAGCACCAACTGAAGCCACAACTGAAGGCACACTAAGATGAGCATCGACCGATGAAAAACCACTACTCCCACCAAATAAAGATATGGTAGGGACTCCACCAGGAGGCAGGCGAGACTGAACATCAGACAAAGGCAACTGACCAGTCGGGTCATCAACATCGGACTCCCTAAGCCTAACTGACTGTGCCACCGGATGTCCTAACTGCAATAGAGGAGGTGCAAAAGTCACTCTACTTTCACCACATGGCGCAACAACCTCAGATCTCATCCTATCAAGAGGAACATCTGCCCGCTCGAATGTAACTTTAACAACATCATCATCTCTTGCATTCAAATTGGCCTCTGAGCTATCCCCATCGTCACCTTCACTTTCGGAATCACTAAAACCTTTAGCATTACTTTGTTTCCGCAACCGCCGATGCGGAAGCAAATCATCAGCAGAGTTCTCTTCCTCAGAAGGCATGCCCGCCACCCTAAGTGCCACAGAAACATCATGATGGGTAGCTGACCTTTGTACCTAAAGAAACGAAGCGCCCAACTTAGAAGCACATAAAGGAAACACAACAAGAAAGGAAGTCACTTAAATAAAAAAATAAAAAATAAAAAAAGAGAAGAAGCTAACCTTCATTCTCTGGGAAGGCTCCTTCTTAGGCTGGCTCGGGCGTCGTTTGGATATACCAACTTCCCCTAGAAAACCGTCTGTACCAACGACCCTTGCCTGAGTCAACACATCAGAGAGTAACTCTAAACGTGCAAATCGAGACAACTCGCCCCTAGCCAATTCATTCCGGCCTTTCACGCGCGGTTGACACAGTTCGTTATCCGATGGAATGCATATAAACTCTAAGTCCCCAATATCACCCCCGAGAAACTCTTGAAAGGCGGCAAAAGTCTCCCTCCAATAATGTCGCCAACTAACTGTTACCCCACCTACACGATCAGCCCTCGTCTGAATAAACTTGCTATACTTCTGGAGTCTCGGAAGATGAGTATGACAGAAAAACTGCTCAAAAGTATCAGACACAGGAAGGACTACGCTAGGACTAGGGACCCCCTGATCAAATCCAAATTGGCGAGCCACTCTCGCCGGATTATAGGATGTAGAGCCATAAGCTCCTCCTATAAAATAAGGCAAGGAACATGACAAGAAGCTACAAGCCGTCATTGTCTCGGCATTACTCAGTCGACCATCAAAAGCCACCTCAGAATCTCTCGAGTCATACATCCGAAACGGAACCACCCCAACCACAGGAGGAACGTAGGGACGAGCTATAAACTCACTCTCATCATCAAGAATATCCATCAGCGGTCCCCGAATGCGTGTCCCGTACCACCTTGTAGCTCGGCGCTCTCGCCCCTCTCCAGGCTCAAAATCCGTCGGCCTAGGAGCAAGCCTGGGAAACCGTTCATACAAAAACATCTGCAAGAAGGAAGTCGATACAAAACTAATAACATCATACCGACCCTTCGACTTCTCTGCTCCAGCCTGATACATATCAAGCCGTCTGTATAGAGTCCCCAAAAACAGTGGCCCAAGTGCAACCGAAAGACCACTCGCAAGATAAGCAGCAATATCAAACACAGACAGGTCTACTCCATCCTTAGGTGCTCCCTCCAAGATATACCGACTCAACCAATATGCAAGGAAAGCAGCAAGGTAGGTGGAACTATGCTTATACTTTTCATATCCAGGCCCATCTACCCCATTTTCTTCTATTTCGGTTCCTTCTGCCGGAGATGGATTCAAATCTCGATACCAATATCGCAGCCATCCCCCAAAGGTATTCTTACAATGCTCCCGACGCTGCGGCCCAAGATACACCCCTCCTTTATCGTAGCCGCTCAATAAGAATCCTGCCTCTGAAATTGAGGCTTTCAAAATCGATACAATCTTTAGATGATTCGGAACGGATGTATTAGCAAGCGGATCTGCAACACCAAGTATAGGCAAACCAGTCAATGCGCAGACATCCTCCAATGTAGGTGTCAATTCCCCCCACCGAGTGACAAAGGTGTGAGAACTAGAACTCCAACGCGAAAAAGCCACGCTCAACCATGATGGCTCCCTTCTCACATTCAACCCCACACTTGCCACTATAGCACCATACACACCTACATTCTTTAAAACCTCTTTAGAAGAAGGATTAGTCAGCACTTCCTCAGCCCAAGTATCAAAACCCCCACCATTCTTGGTAAAAGCATAGCTGTCATAAGTTAGGAATGCATATGGGTAGAGGTCGCGCTCTATGTGTAACCGCATAATAGATTCTGGAGCTATCATCCCCTCTGCTCCTTCTTCTGCCTCGGGTACCCCCAACAAAACTTGAGATTGATTAACAGTCCTTTTATCCTCTAATTGTTGCCAGAATCTGTCCCCGACTCCAAAATAAGGAGCACGAAACCAGTGCTCGATAGAAGGCACCTCAGCAGCCTCTTCCCCACTTGCTTTGCTTGGCAACTTTTTGGCCACTTTCTTCGACGAACATACAACGGCTTTCCGCTTCATTCTGAGCAAACAATTCCTACCTGCATCACCCCAAATTGCAACAAGTAAGTTTTGCACTCATGAATCAAACTAAAAAAATAAATAAATAAATAAATAATAATAATAATAATAATAATAATAATAATAATAATAATAATAATAATTAATTAATTAATTAACTAACTAAATAAATAAAAATAATATTTATTTATTTGCTTATTAATAAATAAAAATAACTCTTCTAATTTTTAGCTCTTCCACTTTACTTCATGTTCTCTCAAATCCCTCAAACCAGCTCTCTGATCTTATTAGCTCACATTTCATTAGCTCACCAATATGAATAGAGTTACTCTCCTTAATGGCCTCCTCAAGTCACCCAGTTCCTAGCTCCCAACAAGGGGCGGACTAGATTTCAGTTCTGCCCCCTCCCCCAACATGTGAGGGATCAAAGTCGGATGCGTTCTCCTAATTCTTGGCTCACCATGTGATGCTAACTAGACTCTGAATTTTGCAACTCTAATATTTTATTAATTTTTGAGCTTCATAATTTTATAGCTCTCCTATTATGTTTAGAGCTTGTTCCCAATCTTTACGAATCTTCCTAAGTGTTAGAGTTAGAGCCATATGTGATAACTCACCAATTTCATAGCTCTCCATGTCATAGCTCACCAATTTCATGGCTCACCAATATTTTATTATTATTTCATGGCTCACCAATATTTTATTTTTAATTTCTTAACTCACCAATTTCATGGCTCACAAATATTTTATTATTATTATGTTTAGAGCTCATTCTCAATCTTTATAAATTTTTCTAAGTGTCAGAGTTTAGAGCCATATGTGATAGCTCACCAATTTCATAGCTCCCCATGTCATTAGCTCACCAATTTTATAGCTCCTCCATTATGTTTAGAGCTCATTCTCAATCCTTATAAATTTTTCTAAGTGTTAGAGTTAGAGCCACATGCGATAACTCACCAATTTCATAGCTCTCCATGTCATAGCCCACCAATTTCATGGCTCACCAATATTTTATTATTATTTCATGGTTAATTTCATGACTCACAAATATTTTATTATTATTATGTTTAGAGCTCATTCTCAATCCTTATAAATTTTTCTAAGTGTCAGAGTTTAGAGCCATATGTGATAGCTCACCAATTTCATATCTCTCCATGTCATTAGCTCACCAATTTTATAGCTCCTCCATTATGTTTAGAGCTCATTCTCAATCCTTATAAATTTTTCTAAGTGTTAGAGTTAGAGCCACATGCGATAGCTCACCAATTTCATAGCTCTCCATGTCATAGCTCACCAATTTCATAGCTCTCCATGTCATAGCTCACCAATTTCATAGCTCTCCATGTCATAGCTCACCAATTTCATAGCTCTCCATGTCATAGCTCACCAATTTCATAGCTCTCCATGTCATAGCTCACCAATTTCATAGCTCTCCATGTCATAGCTCACCAATTTCATAGCTCTCCATGTCATAGCTCACCAATTTCATAGCTCTCCATGTCATAGCTCACCAATTTCATAGCTCTCCATGTCATAGCTCACCAATTTCATAGCTCTCCATGTCATAGCTCACCAATTTCATAGCTCTCCATGTCATAGCTCACCAATTTCATAGCTCTCCATGTCATAGCTCACCAATTTCATAGCTCTCCATGTCATAGCTCACCAATTTCATAGCTCTCCATGTCATAGCTCACCAATTTCATAGCTCTCCATGTCATAGCTCACCAATTTCATAGCTCTCCATGTCATAGCTCACCAATTTCATAGCTCTCCATGTCATAGCTCACCAATTTCATAGCTCTCCATGTCATAGCTCACCAATTTCATAGCTCTCCATGTCATAGCTCACCAATTTCATAGCTCTCCATGTCATAGCTCACCAATTTCATAGCTCTCCATGTCATAGCTCACCAATTTCATAGCTCTCCATGTCATAGCTCACCAATTTCATAGCTCTCCATGTCATAGCTCACCAATTTCATAGCTCTCCATGTCATAGCTCACCAATTTCATAGCTCTCCATGTCATAGCTCACCAATTTCATAGCTCTCCATGTCATAGCTCACCAATTTCATAGCTCTCCATGTCATAGCTCACCAATTTCATAGCTCTCCATGTCATAGCTCACCAATTTCATAGCTCTCCATGTCATAGCTCACCAATTTCATAGCTCTCCATGTCATAGCTCACCAATTTCATAGCTCTCCATGTCATAGCTCACCAATTTCATAGCTCTCCATGTCATAGCTCACCAATTTCATAGCTCTCCATGTCATAGCTCACCAATTTCATAGCTCTCCATGTCATAGCTCACCAATTTCATAGCTCTCCATGTCATAGCTCACCAATTTCATAGCTCTCCATGTCATAGCTCACCAATTTCATAGCTCTCCATGTCATAGCTCACCAATTTCATAGCTCTCCATGTCATAGCTCACCAATTTCATAGCTCTCCATGTCATAGCTCACCAATTTCATAGCTCTCCATGTCATAGCTCACCAATTTCATAGCTCTCCATGTCATAGCTCACCAATTTCATAGCTCTCCATGTCATAGCTCACCAATTTCATAGCTCTCCATGTCATAGCTAATTTTTGTTAGAGTTCTCCAATTTCATAACTCTCCATGGGTTAGCTCACCGTTCTCATAGATCACTAATATTTTATTATTATTTTCTTAGCTCACCAATTGCATGACTCACCAGTATTTTATTAATTTTTGTTAGAGTTCTCCAATTTTATAACTCTCCATGGGTTAGCTCACCGTTCTCATAGATCACTAATATTTTATTCTTAACTCACCAAATGTGATAGCTCACCATTCTCACGAATCACTAATATTTTATTATTATTTGCTTAGCTCACTAATTTCATGGCTTACCAATATTTTATTAATTCTTTTTAGAATTCTCCAATTTCATAACTCTCCATGTATTAGTTCACCATTCTTATAGCTCACAAATATTTTATTATTATTTTTAGAACTCTTCATTTTTCAACTCTCCAACATTTTTCAAATTCTAAAAAATCACGGTTCTCCTATATTTTATGGCTCACTAATAGCATAGCTCCCCACAATTCTAATATTTTATTATTCGAAATCTCAAAACTTATAACTCCTTAATATTCTAAGCGTAGAACTCCACTTTTATAACTCCCTAATATCTTATTCTAATATTTTATTTTCTATTTTCTGACTATTTCTTCAATCCATATCAAACCAATAATAATCATAATCATAAAATAATAAATAATATATATATATATATATAAAAGAGAAAGAAAAAGGTTCTCCAACCCTTGGCTCTTTACCAAAATAATAACAATCTTATTATTTTACAACTCTCCAAAATGCAGCCCTTCATTTTTGACATACCTCCTCATTTATTTATTCATTTATTTATTCTTACAACAGCCTACCCCCTTTTCTTTTTCTTTGTTTCATCACAAAACAGACAAAACATATATACATATAGCAAATAAACAAACACATACACAACCAATCTATGGGAGATTCGAAGCATACCTCACGGCAGATGACTTCAAATAGGTGACCCCAGATCGTGGTTGAGCTTCCAAAGCACCAAGTCCTTCTCGCTCAGCTCGCAACTATGGCTCGTGACTTCCCAATTCAGCCTTCTCTCTTCTCACCTTCTCTATCGCCGGTCAGTCACCAAGATTCTGCCTCTTCCCTCAAGCATCGACGACGGCAAATACTCTTCCAAACCCTAGCTTCGGTGAATCAAAGGGATGGAAAAATCAACCCTGCTCTGTCGCAAAATGTATCTAAGGTTAGCCCTCCAATGTCGCACCTCACAGAATTGTTGCGGCTCACGGTCGACAACCACCACAACTAGCCGGCACCTTTCTTCCCTCCTTCCTCTCTCTCACAAACCGTATCTCTTCTCCCTTCGTGATTTTGATCCACTTCTCTGATTCACAAACCCAATCGTTAACAACAAACTTTCTCTCCTCTCTCACGGCAGTCGACCCCCCCTTTTTTTTTTCTTTCCTTTCTCTCTCTAACAACCCAGAACTCAACTTGGAATGAGAGATTATGAAGGACCTAGAACTCAAGCTGAAAAGAAAAACATAAAAACCCAGATCTTTCCAAACAGCTTTCCTAATGGTATAGGAAACCTAGTTGCAGATAACTATGTCAATAAAACATCCTTGCACACCTTGGGTAAAAGGAGAAGACGTGGACAACAATCAGATAATACAGAATCCCTCTTTGATCCAGTTCAAAAAAAAAAAAAACTGGGTATGCACAATGGATAAAAGGAGAAGTGGATGAAGTAACCAGAATTTGGACAGCTCTGGTCAAATTCAAAATACAAAAAAAATATATATATATATATATAAATAATAATGTGTATACACACATATTCAGGATTGCACCTTTCCGAGGATGAATCCTTAAACCAATCGAACTCTTTGCTACAGACTGCAAATACCTTAAAGCCTTCAAAAAGTCACTTTACTAATAGCTACACAAGCTATCACATTATACTATGAGCAACTCCAAAATTAGTAGGTCTGCTCTAAACCTATAACTTCAATTTATGAGTTGTCTTCTTCATGGATCGCCCATTCCCAATGTAAAGCTACAAAAGTTAGTAAATTCACCTCCTCTTTCCTAATGCAATCTCATCTTTATAAGAGAGCAAATACGGGATAGCAACAAAACAAAAAAAAAACACAGGCAAATTCATATCCACTCTCCAACATTCTCCTCTCAAGTTTAACAACCCATTCTCTCTAAATGGCTTTCGGAGGAGAGGGGCACCGAGATAACACCATTTGGCGGCCGGTGAACAAAGCACCAAACCAAAGAGGCTCAAACTATAGAGCTTCAAGCTCCACTCCTACTCACCGTCGCCGCCCTGTGTGTGAATTCTTTCGAAAGATGCTCTCCATGCCTCCATGGCAATTCCAAGATCTGCTATTCGAATCCCCTTGGATCCAACACCCAATATCTGCTCATACAGTCGTAGAGGTACCAGAAGAATTCCAGGGTAAAATAAGAGGATGGTATAAGGCACTAACCATTCCAGAACTTTACACAATACCACTGTCCTACACTTGGTTTTTGCGAAACCAAGAAATCAACCTCACTCTCCAAGGATCCACCTGCCAGGCAAATCAGGTATTAATCCCACATTTCGAGAAGATCCGCATCAATATCCTCTCACAAAGACCGACAGAGAGAGATCTAGACCACCATATCTCCATCATGTCAGCACCATTAGAAAACCCAAATAAAAATTTGGGACTTGGGTGGGACATAGAGAACTTTGCAGATCTCAACATGGGAGAAGAGAGCGCTTCCCACAACGCTCAGTCAAACATCTCCTACAACATTCCACTTAACATTCTCTTCTTCAACACGGAGGGCGTCGCTCGCCCTAACTTTCTCCAACACTACATGCACCTACATTCTAGCGGACGCTTCCACCTCGTCATCATCACAAACACAAAAAAAAGGGGAAGCGAGGCCCAATTCATGAGCCAAATCATGGGTTACTCCAACACCAAGACCATGAACCCACCTCCCAGCGGCATGGAAAGAGTAACGGGCGGAATTTGGTGCCTATGGAATGAAGCTGAAATCTCATGTGATGTAATAGAGA